CATACTTTTGAATTCATATTCGGGAACATATAGGGATCCTGAAAGCAGAGCTTCTGCCCTGAGGTCACTCTTAAAGACACCTGCTTCTCAGAAGTTTCTAAGGAAGCATTGAAAAGTAGCTAGAGCCTGTGGAAAGAGAATTCAGTTGAGACTGAGGGAGGAGATGGTTCAGAGATAATGATAGCCAGAGGCAATCCAAAGCAAAAAGTCGAAGGAATGGACTAAAAAAATTCTGGGGTCTTGAGAGATAGGGCTCCTCTCCTGGAATAACCTAGACACTGAGCAGCTTGTATAAATCACCAGAAAAACGACCAACCACTCTTTCTACCCTCTCCCCAGAAACCCTTTATTTAATCCTCCAATCTCCCACTGTTTGCCAGTATTCCTTTAACTAGCCAGGCCCCACTCCCAGAGCTACCTCTAATGTCCCTCACTGACTATCTCTCTGTGAATGACTATTCTAATAACTTTGTCACTGATTTCTTTCTCATACATATACACATAAATTCCCATTAACACTCCTACCTATCATGGTAGGGGGAAGAAAGTACAAGAGGTTGAAATCATAGTCTTGTCTAGAGGGTAAATTTAGCCTTTGGATCAGATGACTATGTGCCTTTGAAAGAGGTAAAGTGTTATAAAGACTGAGGGAACAATTGCCTCTTCTCTCACTTTCTTTGCCTGTCTCTCCTGCATCTACACAACCAGTTACCTATATCGGTTTCTCTCCTCTAAATTACTGTAAAATTTTATTGTTCAATTCCATTCCCACAACCAATATCCCAGTTTAGGGATCTCTACCTTGAATAACAAAACTCTCAGCTCTCTGCCTTTATATTCTCACTTCCATATGAATCCAGATTAATCTTCTTAAGCCCAGCTGTGACATCACTCCCCTGCATAAAAATCTTTTCATAGGTGTCCAAAAATAGTTAAGATGTCCCAGTCCTGGACCTCACCACTGTTGAATACAATCTTGATTCCCTTTTCTTTCACGCCTTACATCCAATTCAAGTCAGCAAATTCCATGGGCTCTTCACTCAAAATAGATACAGATTTTGACCACTTCTAAGTACCTTTAATCACTATCACTGTTCACATGGATTTCTATAGTAGCCTCAAAAGTCTCCATGCTTCTAATCTTGCCCCTCGACAGTCTATTCTCAACAGAAAGACAGGTTCTAAACATAAGTCAAATCACTGTCACTTCTATGCTCAAGATTGCCCAGTGGTTCCCCATTTCACTGTGAAAAAAAAAAAAAATCTTTTAATCTATACAATCTAGTGTCCTGCTGACCTCATTCCCTATCACTCTGTTTTTCTTTTTTTTTAATCTTGGTTTCTTTTTTTTTCATTTATTTTTATTAGTTGGAGGCTAATTACTTTACAATATTGTAGTGGTTTTTGTCATACATTGACATGAATTAGCCATGGATTTACATGTATTCCCCATCCCGATCCCCCCTCCCACCTCCCTTTCTAACTAATACTGCTTCAGCTACGCTAACTTCCTAGCTAGTATTCAAATACACTAGGTAGCAGAACACTCCTGTCCCAGGGCCTCTACACTTATTCTTTCATGTACCTGGAATAGTTTCCGTTCCCAAACCAACTATATGCATGACACTCTGCATTTTCTTCATATTGCTGCTCAGTCGTCTTTTTATCAGAGTGCTGCCGATATCAATCCCCATTTTTCACTGTTATTCCTTTTTCCTTAAACTGCTTTGTATTTTTCTACAGCACTTATCACTACCTGTCATATATTTATTGTTTTGTTTGTCTGTCTCCTTAAGCTGGAATATAACCTTCATGAGGGTAGAGAGTTTGTTTGTTTGTTCAGAATACTGCCTGGTACATAGTAAGTCCTTAATAAGTATTTAATGAATAAATTGATCCCTGCATAAACTCTCTACATCTGTAAAGACAGTTGACCTAGATGGATTCTAATAAAACAATCACTTCAAATTCTAAAAATACTATTATTCCATGAATATTTACAATGTGTCAAGTCAAAAGTAAAAAGCCAAATTCTTCCTTAATACTGTTCTATTTTGGCTAATTGAAGTACTTTGTTTTTGGATTATTTCAGTATGTATATAAAATATGCCCTAAATGTGGTTTTCTAATGCCACTATGTTGCTGTTGTTCATTTGCTAAGTTGTGTCCAACTCTTTGTGACCTCTTGGACTGCAGCACTCCAGATTTCCCTGTCCTTCACTATTTCCAGGAGTTTGCTCAGAAAAAAAGAAAAGAAAGCCACTTTAGTTATCTAAATGTCTAGGCTGAAAAGAAATAAGCAGTGTATCAACTGGAGCAAATCACTGAAAAGATGTCACTTTAAAAACATTAATAAAAAGTAGAGCAGAAAGAAGGTAGGCTCTAGGACCAAGGGGAAAAAGAGAACTTCATAGAATAAATTATATGATTGTTTGAAAAATATTGAGTATATGATAAAGACAAATAGTATAAGAAAATTTTAGGCAATTTTTAACTTCTTTGAAAACAGAAATCTTTATATAAAAGGAAATACAATCATATATTATTCTAAAATAAGCATTGATTTTAAATTAACTAAAAAATAGAGGTATAATTATGTTGAGATGAAGAGAAAGAAGTTGGAGTAGTATATAAGAACTGAATTCTCATCTATCATAAAAGGAAGTCAATGTTTTCTTTAAAAAAAAAAGAAATTGCAGTGTAAGCATATTGTTTTAAAATATAGAGGTAAAAAAGGGAAGTAAACAAATATCTGGGATATTTGCACTTTACTTTCTTTTAACAAATGTGATTTATTTGTAGACTGAGTCTTGAATAATAATGGCCCATGTGGTACCCGTCTCCCACTCTTCTCACCCCTGCACCATAACACTCATAGGGCTGAGTACTCAATATCTTTAAAATTCTTATTTGTTGCCTGACCAATGTAAAAATGGAGTGAAAATGTCTTGTTACAGAGTTACAGAATTTTTCATGAGAAGTAAATGTAGAGATTATATATCGAGTGCTTCGTACATCAGTGTTCCATGGAATACTGCTTCTTGTGATGTTAATCGCATGCTATAAAAAGTGTTTGAGGCTCAAATAAACTTTAGAAACCCCATGTTAAAATTAATCAGGTATCTTTACTGTAGGACTTCTTGGAGCCTTTACTGTATCAATACACAATGGAAATCCTGGAAAGGTAATTTATCATACAGTGCTTCTCAGTCTATTTTTTTTTTCATGAATCAAGAAGCTCCTGCTTGGGGGGAAAAAAAAAAGTTCCTAATATGTCTAGTAATTAGTGGTTTCAAAAGCATTCTTGGGAAAACGCTGATCTAATCTACTCCTTTCATTTTACTTATGTGGAAAGACAGACTCTGTTCAAGTACAGATGGTAGGGGAACTAGAAAGAAGGGCCTCAGGATTCTGCAACAATATCCATTGACTAAACAGTTCTGGCCTGTGCCTTTTCAGTCTTTCATCATGCACTTGATTTCAAACCAGGGAACAAATTCAGACAAAAGTATCTCCTATCCAGATCTTTAAAGGTTTTCTGATCTCTGAGGAACCTAAGAGGTGGGCCCAAGTGTCAGCTGGAGCTCAAACATAAAGTCTCATGGCAGGAGCTAAACAAAGTCTCAACAGGCATAATGGACCGTGAATTTCAGTGGCAAAGTGACCCCAACCTGAGCAATGGTAATGTGATAACAAACCACTCACATTTGTACAGTGTTTTCTAATAAATAAATAAATGCTTTCACAACATCATATTTGATTCTCCTAACAATCCAGTTATAAGGCAAGAGTGGAATTTAATATTACCCCCATTTTATGGACAAGGAAATTGACTCTCAGAGAGTTAAATGCCTTGCCTATGGTTACATAGCAAGTGGATGGCAGAGTTAGAGTGAGAAACTGAACTTCCTGTCTCTCAGGTTAGGGTTTTTCTTAATGTCACACAAACTGGGCAATGTTTTACTGACTACCAATTTAATTCATCCATGAAATACCAATATGCTCCTATTGGCTCATTTAAAAAAGAAACAGATTAATTCTCAAAGTGCTTATGGTTGGTAGCAGAAACACCCCAGGACCTGGAACTTCAAGGTCCTATTTCAGGTTCAGTTTAGTAACACCTCCTCTAAACTATGCTGCTAGGAAGAGGGGGTTTTAGTTTTAGTGGAGGAGTCAGCATGGCTGAGTGTTAAGGAATCAGACAGACTTGGGTTTGAACCCTGGCTCCACCAGTTACTCAGTCTATGACCTTATTCACTATGAAGCAGAGATGCATGCTTCATTTCTTCAGATATAAAATTGGGCTAAGAATACCTAATTTGCAAAGCTGTTGAGAGGCTAGTATAAGAAATTAGAAGGACAGTATAATGTCATGGTTAAGAGTATAAACTCTGGAACTGTGCTACCAGGATGTGAATATCAGTCCTTCTTACTAGCTGTGTAACCTCAAATAAGTCATCTATTTACATCTCAGAATTTCATTTTCACATATGTAAAATGAGGAAAATAAATAATATATTTTTAGTTGTTGTGAGCATCAAATAGGATAACATGTGTGAAGCACTTGAGCACAGTATCTGGCATATAGCTCAATCAAAGGTAATGATGATAACAGTGGCGGTGGAAGCAAAAAATCCAAAATCCACTTTTCTCCCAAAACAAGAATAAGGAAGAAAACAACATAGTCCTTTTTGCTTCCATTTACCCCCCTACACTGTTCCTCTCCAACTACAAGTTGAAAACACTAGACTAGAAGTCAGGATACTTGATTTTGAATGTCAGTTCTGTCACATGCTAGTTACATGATTTTAGGGAAGTCATTTAACTTGAGGTATTTTTCTTCACCTGAGACATTAAGTTAATGACAGTTTGCTTATTCTTCTGGGTTGTTGTAAGCATCAAATGCATGGATTTTTAAGGTACTTTGTGAACTATAAAATACTATATAAATGTCAGGGTGACTTTTTATCTGCCACAGGCTATAAGATAGGTGTATTTACCAGTAAAAAGCAACTTTATCGCCAAGTTTTTTCTCATGGACAATTCGATCCAGTACGTTGTAGCAGATGTTGGTAGTTGCTCCTTTCATCCATTCAATGAAGATTTTCCCTTTAGTCACATCAAAATTGTACTGAAGGAATGGACCAGGACATGGGGTCTTCCAGTAAAATTCCTTGGCAATGTCTCCCCAAAACTCTACAACAGAAAAGGAAACCCAGACATCATTTAGCTTCTGAGGCACATTTATCCTCAGATGGCTTACCATTCTATACATATAACCAAGTCACAATTTCTCTGCCCTGTACTCCAGGACCTATCACCTTCTACCTCTTCTACCTCTCAAATCTTAACACCCACCACACTCTTAAACCATCTTTACTCCCATGGGCTGAATCTTGACTCAAGTTTCTTCCCTCCCTTCTCAAAATATCCACTCCATTTTTCACCATCTATTCAAACTGTAACCAGTGCCTATCACAATGCCTAGTACATTGTAGTTAATCAGTAACTTTTCCAATGAATTAATTAGTGAAAGGAAGAAATCCTTTACCCACAGAGCCTTCCAGGACAAGGAAAAATTTGTTCATTCACTCTCTGCAATTACTTAATGAGCATCTCTTTCTCCTACTATTTGCCTAAGTGTTACTTGCTAAGTACCAGATGTGGCTTTTAAACTCCTTAAATGCATTATCTCATTTAGTTCTTACTACAACCATAGGAGGTAGGGTTTTTCATTCTTATTTTATTGGTTTGAAAATCAAGGCTCAGAGAAACCAAATAATTTGCCCAAGGTGAGTCAGTGGGTAAAGAATCTGCCTGTAAAGCAGGACACCCAAGTTCAATCCCTGAATCAGGAACATCCCCTGGCGGAGGGCACGGCAACCCACTCCTGTACTCTTGATTGGGGAATCCCATGGAGAGAGGAACCTGGCGGACTATAGGCCATGGTGTTGCAAAGAGTCAGACATGACTTAGTGATATCACTTATACATTTACTAAGTCAAGATTTGAACTGCCCCGAGGAAGACATTGTTGCTAAAGTCTGAAAGATGAATAGGAGTTTTTCTCCACTCTCCCACCAGGAAAAACAATACTATGGGACAGAAAAGAACCATGGGTATATATTAAAAGGAATTCCCTCAGGCTGAAGCACTGAGAATAAGAGAAAGAATAGCAGAAATTAAGGGATAAACTAGGCAGATAACATGCAATCCTTCTAAGCATACAGAATTTGAGCAATTTGAGCCTAAGAGCAATAGGCTTCCCTGATGGCTCAGATGGTGAAGAATCTGCCTGCAATGCAGGAGACCCAGGTTTGATCCCTGGGTCAGGAAGATCCCTTGGAGAAGGAAACAGCAACCCACTCCAGTATTCTTGCCTGGAAAACCCCATGGACAGAGGAGCCTGGCGGGCTACAGCTCATGGCATTGCAAAGAGTCAGACACGACTGAGCAACTAACAGTTTCAGTTTCTAAGAGCAATGTAAAGTCATTGTAGGATTTTAGCCAGAGAAGACTTACAATGTTGAAATATTTGCCTGGTTACTCTGGAGAAAAGGTACTCAACAGGTTAAACATGCTGTGGCAGAACACCTAGGATAATCTAAGTACTGGATCACAAGCTAGAGAAGAGAGAGAGAGACCCTTAGAACCATAACAATGGAAGGAACTTTAGAGGTTATCAGCCTCTCATTTTACTGATAAATCAAATTTATAGAGGTAAAGTGACTTGTTCAAGCTGGATGATTTAGCTTATACAATCTGATTAAAGAGATAATGATGCTGAGCAGGGCCCTGTGGGACTCCTGGACACAGAGGCCTTTTTGTCCCCCATTTCTTATAGGCAAGAATCCAGCCTCCATGACCTTCTCTCAGTTCCAAATGGCATCACAGTTGCTAATCAAAGGAGAAACAGCAGTAAAACAGCAAGATTAAAGGACCAGAGAGGCTCATCAAGATTAGGACACTGGACCACCTAAGACCCTCCACACATCCAATCTTGTCAGGAACCCCACTCTTTTGAACTTTGCAGAAGAAAGAATACAAGACTGTTATTGCCTTGATCCTTATCATATACTCCTGCCTGACTATATAACCTTTCCCTTCTCACCAGGGAGGAGGCATAATTCTTGAGGCACTAGCCTACTGTGTTCCTCCCCCTCTGCCTGGCAAAGTAATAAAACTACTCTTTCCTTCTCCTCCATAACTCTGTCTCCATATTTCTGTGTGGCATTGGTGCACAGAAAGACAAGATTTTGGCAACAATAAGACTAATACGTAAAATATTTTTGAATATACAAGACAAAATACTGAAAGCTAAATTACATGGTATACAACTTGTCACCAGATTCCCTGGTGGCTCAGGCAGTAAAGAGTCTGCCTGTAATGCAGGAGACCGAGGTTCGATCCCTGGGTTGGGAAGATTCCCCTGGAGAAGGAAATGGCAACCCACTCCAATATTTTTGCCTGGAAAATCCCATGGATGGAGGAGCCCAGCAGGCTATAGTCCATTGAGTCACAAAGAGTTGGACACAACTGAGTGATTTCACTTTCTTTTCTTTCTATACAACTTGCAATGAATTAAAGAAATCCAAATCAAATCAACCCCAAGGTGCCATTATATGCCTCTAAGACCAGCAAAGACTAAGAAAATATTGAACTCAATGCCCAAGTGACCCTAGAAAACTGACCTATTATATGATAACAACATTGTAAGAAATTAGCACTTTTTTTTTTATTTTTTATTTTTTAAAAAAAAAGAAAGAAATTAGCACAATGTTACTGAACAGCAGGGCAATGCATGACAAGAGTCATAAAATGTTTTATATTCTTTCAACTGCTAACTTTGGGAAAACACACCCTAAGAAAATAATACCAAAGGGAAAAAAGTGATTACTCAAGAGATGTTTATACTAACACCATTTATAATAGTAAGACTAGAAATGGCCCTCAAGCTCAACAATGAAAAAACTGATGAAAACTGGCAGAGATGAAATCTCGCTAGCAGAGATGAAAACTGAAGAGATGAAATCTCTTTAATCACTGGCAGTGACACAACAGAATATTAAATGGCCATTAATGAGAGAACAAATGGGAACTGGCATTTTAATGAATGCCATTAATGTCCAAGGTTTGAGCTAATCTCATTTAATCTTTATATGGCCCTCTGATGATCTTGATTTTAACACATGAGAAAACCGAAGCTCAGGACACGTAGGAAACTCCCAAGAATCACACAGCACTAACCCTAACCTGAATACAAAATAAGACCTAACTCTAAAGTCCATGTTGGTACAGCTACATTTAATATGTGTATACTCAAAAAAGTACATTTTAAGTGACAATAGTAGGCACAGACTATTTAAAACCATATATGAACCACATTTATGTCCATCAACAAGAAGTGAAGAAATCTTTTTATAATTACTTAGTTTTGTTTTCTTTTCTGGCCCGCCAGGCCACAGGCAGAATGGTTCCATGACCAGGGATTGAACTCGTGCCCCCTACAGTGGAAGCATGGAGTCTTAACCACTGGAATGCCAGGGAAATGCATAATCATTTAGTTCTTGCTTTTATTTTTTTATAGTGGAGCTATTGAATTCTGGATGGTTCTTTGGCACACATTCTAAGTACTGAAGTTTAGAAAAGATAAAAATGGACTGGCATGATCAGGGAATGCTCTGTGGAACTGGTGAGGTTTGACTAGGTAGAGAGGAACAGAAGGGAATGGGCAAAGCCATGGTGATGGGAAAGGGACTTTTGTGTATATAGTATATCAACAAGAATGGTCTGTTGTAGAATGAGGGTCATGCAGTAGGGAGTATCAGAAGATAAGAATAGAAAGGTGGGGTAGGCTAGTTATCCAGCGATTCTGAAAGAAAGGCAGAATTTTAACTTTAAACTGTAGGAAATAGGGAACTATTGAAAGTTTTTGAAGTGACATATGAAAGCATTATTTCCATATCACTCTAATAGTGTTTAGATAATTCTAAATCTACCAGAAATAATGGAGATGAGTGAGACTAGGGGAGAGAGAACCAGTTAGAAGGCTGCTCCCTTGAATTATAAGGGTCTATGGAAATGGAATAAAAGGTAACCTAAGAGATATTTTGAAAGAGTATTTGACAAAATTTTGTAAAAGGCAGACTGTGGATCAGGGAAGAGGACTAGCATAGCTACTGGGAGTATAGATTCTGCAACCAAAACTATGTTGGTTCAAATCTCAGCTTCACCTGTGACATTGTTCAATTTAGTTAACCTCTCTAAGTGTCAGTTTCCTTCTCTGAAAAATGGGGATAATAGTCTCTACATCAAACAAACAGAATCTGTGCTCAGTAAGCAGTTAGCAACCTATAAATAAATAAGATATACAAATGGATAAGATTTGGGATAGTGCCACTGGCAGGGATTAGAACATTAGGGAGAAGAGCATATTTGGAAGGGAAAATTAGTAAATCTGACTCACAGTAATGTTAAAATGGTATAACATCAAGGTATGTGAATAAAATACTCTACAGACCTATGAAATTTGAGACTAGAGCATAAGTGAGATCCTGGATACAAAGCTAAGTATACACAAAAAGAGTTACTGTGACAGTAATAGCTCATCATTGGAGAGAAGGTATTTGCAAATCATATATCAGATAAAGGGTTAGCATTCAAAATACATAAAGAACTCATACAACTGAACAACAAAATAACAAGCAGCCCAACTGAAAAGTGAGCAGAGGTGTTGAATAGACATTTTTCCAAAGACATGCTGAGAGCCAACAGATACATGAAAAGATGTTCAATATTACTTGTTATTAGGAAAATGCAAATCAAAGCCACAATGGTATATCACCTCACACATGTCTGAATGGCTATTAGCAAAAAGGCAAGAAACAAGTGTTGAAAAGGATGTGGAGAGATGGAGCCTTCATACATTGTTGGTGGGAATGCATACTGTTGCAGCCATTTTGGAGTATAGCAATTTCTCAAAAATTAAGAACAGAACTATTATATGATCTGGCAATTCCACTTCTGAGTATTTTTCTCAAGAAAACAGAAACACTATTTTGAAAAGATATATGCACTCCTATGTTTATTATGTTTACAGTGAATAGCCAAGACATGGAAGTAACCTAAGTGTCCACTGATAAATGAATGATAAAGAAGATGTGATATATAGAGAAATGTATTTACATATATGGATATACAATATTAAAGTCAAAAAAGTGTCAGTTGCCAAGTGTCCAACTCTCTGTGACCCTATGGACTGTAGCCCACCAGACTCTTCTGTCCAAGAGATTCTCCAGGCAGGAATACTGGAGTGGGTTGCCATACCCTTCTCCAGAAGATCTTCCTGACTCAGATATTGAACCTGGGTCTCCTGCATTACAGGCAGACTCTTTACTGTCTGAGCCATTAGGGAAGTAATATGAATATGACAGATAAGTAAAATGAATATTACTCAACCATAAAAAGAATGAAAACTTACCATTTCAGACAGAGTCAAAGACAAATACCATATGCTTTCACTCATATGTGCAATGTAAAAAACAAATGAACAACCAAATTAAACAAAACAAACACATAAAGAGAACAGATTACTGGTTACCTGAGGTGAAGTGGGGAGGGTAAAATGAGTAAAGAGGGTAACTGTATGGTGATGGGTGGAAACTAAATTTTTGGTGGTGATCACACCATAGTGTACACAGAAGTAGAAATACAATATTGTATACAGGGAGCTTAAATAATGTTACCTCAATTTAAAAAAATGAAAACATGGGAAACATGAACTCATGACAAGAAAAAATATAGAGAGGGAAGCTAAGTGAAAAGAGGCCTGAGGTAGGAAGGGAGGGATAAATTAGAAGTTTGGGATTAACACATACACACTACTGGGCTTCCCAGGTAGCTCTAGTGGTAAAGAACCCGCCTGCCAATACAGTAGATACAAGAGATGCAGGTTCAATCCCTGGGTCAGGAAGATCTCCTGCAGGAGGAAATGGCAACCCATTCCAGTATTCTTGCCTGAAGAATCCCAAGGACAGAGGAATCTGGCAGGCTACAGTCAATAGGGTTGCAAAGAGTCAGACACAACTGAAGCAACTTAGCACGTACACACACACACACATATAATAGATAACCAACAAGAACCTACTGTATGGCACAGGGGACTATACTCTGTTCTGTAATAACCTACAAGGGAAAAGAGTCTGAATAAGGACATATATGTAAATAATTGAACTACCTTGAACTGTATACCTGAAACAAACACATTATAAATCAACTACCCTTCAATTTAAAAAAGAAAGAAAGAAAAAGAAACAAGCTGGGGTTATCTAATCTGAAAGTGAACTCTGATTAGGAAGTGAGTCTATAGATAAGATCACCTCTCTATGAGCCAACTAGGAAGTCTCCATTGGAAAAATGAAGATATGATATTGCTTTAGAGCCAGTATATGAATTGGCCTTTATATTTTATTCCTAGAGAATCCCAACAAAAATACAGTGTTATCCCAAGAAGTCAGAATCCTGGGATAGTTGGTGGATACAGGTGTGTGCTGTAGGTGTGTTTTATGAAACTTCCATGTGATTGTGTTTTTATTTAAAGATATTGGCTCATTTCCCTATTAAAGGAAGCCTACTATGAAATCTTTTGTAAAGAGTAGGAACTTGACAAGGAAAGAATTACCAACCACAAGAGTCAATTAAAAGATTAAGTGTAATATTTGTCTAAGGGGTGGTCTACGTAGACAAATTTAGCCAACAAACATCTATGCTGCTGCTGCTGCTAAGTTGCGTCAGTCGTGTCTGACTCTGTGCGACCCCATAGATGGCAGCCCACCAGGCTCCCCCATCCCTGGGATTCTCCAGGCAACAAATATCTATAAGAACACCTAAAAAAAAAAAAGAGGTCTGACCACTCAAACTTGGACATTGCCTGCAGCAATCAACGGCTCTACACCTGATTTAATCTTATCTTGCTTACTCAATAGTTGCTTCATCCACATTGCTCTTATGATTATTAAACTAACTGCTATTTAGTGAACGCTGCTGTGTACCAGGCACTCTGTAATGCACACTTCACTTACTACTCATTTTAGCCCTCAAACAAATCTGCGAGGCAGGTATTATTACCTCTATTTTATAGACTAAAGAAAAGGAATTTCAGACAGGTTTTAAAATCTCAAGACCAAAGAGCAAATGAGTGGCAGAGCCAAGATCTAAATCCAGAGTGTTCATGTATGTCCCACTGCCAGCATCATGCCACCTCCCAATTCAGCTACATCTGTGACCCCTTACCCAGCTTGAGGCTCAAAGACATGGCACTACCTATCAGAATTTCGGAGTTATTACAATCCCAGCCCTATTTCTTTTTTAAAGACAATATATTAGTGACTTGCTCAGTCTTATGCAGTAGTCTCCATCGGGATTTCTGAAATACTAAAAGTAGATCTCCATTACTAACTTGGGGATGCCAGGATGGGACTCGAGTGCCCCTCGGCAGTGGAGACTAACTCACAGGCGAAAGGTGTCAGGAGGCACGGGCTGAGTTGGGCTGAAAAGCAGTAAAGAAATTTCTCTGCGTGGCCCGCCTCCCTTCAAGGCGCTCCTGGCCCCTAAGAACCCGACTCTTCACATGAGGAACTCTCTTCTCGAGACATTTTCACTCTTTCAGACGTTCACAGAACCTGCGAAACCCCCAAGTCGCAAAGGAACACCCCGACTCCTAGGAGACGCTCATTTCCTACAGAACATTTCCTGCTTCACCTCAGAGAACCCCCTTCTCCCGGAACCCCTTTTCCATCTCCTTAAAGAACCGCTATTCTTCCCTCACAGAACGTCTATCTCCTTACCGACTCCCCAATTTCCCAAGGGAACCTCCATCTCCTCACGAAACCTCCATTTCCCGACGGAACACCCTCAATTCCTCCCTCTCCTGTGAACCCCCACTTCTGTCCTAGCTGACGTCCCTCAGGCCCGCCCGGGCCCTGCCTCACCTCTCGGCTCCTCCAAGGAGCGCCGGTGCAGCTCGCGGTAGCGCTGCAGCGAGGGGACGTGCGCCGAACGGCTGACCTCGGGCGGCGGAGACCAGCTCCGCGCCCGACTCCGAGCTCGAGCCTCCTCCCGGGCCCGGCTCCCGCTGCCGCTCCGGCTCCGTTCTTCGGGAAGTCCCATCACCTCAAGTTCCGAACACAGCAGCCGCCTTGGCGGTAGCAGCCGGCGGCCAGGCGCGGAAAACAGGCCGACCGGGGGGCGGGGCCTTAAGAAGGGGCGGGGCCTGGGGGCGGGGCGGGGCTTAGGCAGGTGCAGGGGGAGAGGCCCGGGGGAGCGGAACCGTGCCTGGTGGCGTTGGGACCAGGGCTAGCAAAGAAACCCATAGGCCAAAGTCGAGCATTGCTTGGGGCATGGGGCGGAGCTTACTTGCGGAAGGGGTGGAGCCGCAGCGGGAAAGCAGAAGGGGAGTGGCCAGGCGTGACATGAGAGAGGGTGGGCCCATGGAGTGACCGCGAGTGGCGAGGCTGGATGTGACAGGAGAGGAGGCAGGACCGTGGAGTGACCAGGGTGGGGTGGGGTCTTGGAGTTACAGATGCAGAGTTGAATTAGGGCGGGGCAGGAGCAGGAAAGAGCTGGGCTAACGAACGAAGTTTGGTCAGGCCCATCGAGGAGCCGCCCCGCGATCTGATTGCACAAGCCTGTCACCCCACCGAGTAGAAAAGCCAGGTGGAGTAGGGTCCTTTCCGGGTGACACACTTTCGCTCTGGGAACTAACCCCTACCCTGAGGAAACTCAGATTTTCTTCCAGTCCTGAGGAGAGTTCTTTACTTTCCCTGCCTCCACAAATTTTCATCCAGACTTAAATGCAAAGATTCGTTAAGACTAGGAGGCGCCTTAAGTCTTTGCTAATAAACCCATTTCATTGCATAAATTGTAGACTCAGGGAAAGGGAGGACTTTGTACAAGGTCCCAGAAAAAACAAAGACCATAACTTGGGCCAAACCTAGGTCTCCTGCCTCCAGAAGTTTTTACCGCCTCACCTGGTTGAAGCTAAGCCTTGTGAAATAAAATCTAGGCAAATAGAAGGAATCAGTCACACCCTTCTTTCCTTCCCAGTCTCTTACTTCATCAAGAGACACCTGGGCTCAAATACCTCCAGCTTCCCTCTATCCCTTCCACTCCAGAAAGGAGGGACCAGCCAGGACCCTCCATCTCTCTGCACTAACCACCAAGAAGGGCCCACTCCCACTCATCGGTTCACAGAACAGCCATCAAGTCAGGAAGGATCCTTAAGTATCTAACTCCAAGAGTGATTCTGAGGCCCGGAAGCAGGCAGCCCCCACTTCCTGAAGCCTACACAGAACCCCACCTGGCCCAGCCTCCCTTCCCACCTGCTCTCTTGTTCTTTGTCCAACTAATCTTAAACCCAGCACATCCTAAATTCAGTTCAGTTCAGTCACTCAGTCATGTCCAACTCTTTGTGACCCCATGGACTGCAGCACGCCAGACCTCCCTGTCCATCACCAACTCCTGGAGCTTGATCAAGCTCATGTTCATTGAGTCGGTGATGCCATCCAACCATCTCATCCTCTGTTGTCCCCTTCTCCTTCTGCCTTCAGTCTTTCCCAGCATCAGGGTCTTGTCTAAGTAGCAAGTTCTTTGCATCAGGTGGCCAAAGTATTGGAGTTTCAACTTCAGCATCAGTCCTTCCAATGAATATTCAGGACTGATTTCCTTTAGGATTGACTGGTTTGACCTCCTTGCAGTCCGAGGGACTGTCCAGAGTCTTCAACACCACAGTTCAAAAGCATCAATTCTTTGGCGCTCAGTTTTCTTTATAGTCCAACTCTCCTAAACTGGGTGGCGGGGCGGGGGGAACATCCCCATGGTCAATCTTGATCCAGAGCCTACCTAAGCTTAAGGGAATGGTCTCAAGGCTCCCTGAAGGGGTAAAGAACACATAGAATAGACACAGACCCCACTAAGAAGACAGACACTTCATCGAGGGGGTATTAACTGAGAGGACGCAGCATCATGAAGGGCCTAAGGAAATGCACATCACTGAGTGAACACACACTTCATTCAGTGAGGACAGACCCTACTCAGGGCATCAGACTTCACTGAAGCATATATAGACCTCACTGAGGAGATAGGACCACTCTGTGGACAAAAAGGCACATGCGAGGGCACACGGTTCAGTTCAGTTCAGTCCAGTCACTCAGTCATGTCCAACTCTTTGCAACCCCATGAACTGCAGCACACCAGGCTTCCTTGTCCATCCCCAATTCCCAGAGCTTGCTCAAAATCTTGTCCATTGAGTCGGTGATGCCATCCAACCATCTCATCCTCTGTCGACCCCTTCTCCTCCTGCCTTCAGTCTTTCCCAGCATCAGGGTCTTTTCCAATGAGTCAGTTCTTCCCATCAGGTGGCCAAAGTATTGGAGTTCAGCTTCAGCATCAGTCCTTCCAATGAATATTGGGGACTGATTTCCTTTAGGATAGACTGGTTTGACCTCCTTGCAGTTCAAGGGACTCTCAAGAGTCTTCTCCAACTCCACAGTTCAAAAGCATCAATCCTTCTGTGTTCAGTTTTCTTTATGGTCCAACTCTCACATCCATACATGACTCCTGGCAAAATCATAGCTTTGACTAGATGGATCTTTGTCGGCAAAGTAATGTTTCTGCTTTTTAATATGCTGTCTTGGTCATAGCTTTTCTTCCAAGGAGCAAGTGTCTTTTAATTTCATGGCTGCAGTCACCATCTGCAGTGATTTTGGAGCCCAAGAAAATAAAGTCTATCACTCTTTCCATTGTTTCCATCTATTTGACATGAAGTGATGGCAAATAGTTCTAGTCCAAGGGCACACGGTCCTAGTATAAACAGTCCTCTTCCAGTCCCACACACAAAATTCTGGGCAGCCCTCTACCTCTTGCCCTTCGCAACTCTTCTCTTAAGCTCCAGAGCGGTTCCTCAACACACTGCTGCCCTCTCCTGTCTACAGGTGGCATGGCAGATGCTGTACCCCAAACGGATTTCTTGCGGTTAAAGTAATCTCTAAACCTGGAGCCTGGGGTTGGGGGAGGAGGGGTATGTGGCCAGGGCTTAACCAGCCCCCTCCCCCTGCCAGGGATTGTGGAAAAGAGAGACCAAGAGAAGAAGCTGATATTCTCTTCATGTCCAGGGAAGGGTAACAAGAACATGATTCTCATCTGTCTGTGAGTACTGGAAGACAGGCAGATAGACTGTTAAATGGAAATTTGGACAAGAGGCCTAATAACAGAGGGAACCAACATCCCATCCTTGGAGACAGGGTAGTAGAGCAAGCTCTGGTGTAGTTGGAATTTGTCAGAGTGGGAAGTGTTTGGATCATGTTGGACAAGATGAGAATCCACGAGATTAAGGAAATGCTGATAAAGATTATGGCATTTACTGTATTAAGTAGGTGTCAAGCCATATTTTTAAAACTTTCCAAATGCGATTTAACCTTCACAACCAAAGATGGCTACTCTTATTCTCTCCATTTTACAGATGAAGAAATCCATACTGAATGAAATTAGGTATTTTGCCCAAGATTACAGTTTGTAAGCAGTCACAGAGTAGGAGAACCCATAGATCCATTCCCTACCCTCTCCCACTCTCCCACCGCAGCCCATTCCTGCCATATCATCACCACCACCATTTTTTCTTTCTCTAGGTGTCCTTTCCAGAACCACATAAAAAACTCTTTAAATAATAGTAAACACGCAGGTTCCAGAGATCCCATTCCAACCAACTAAATCATGATCGCTAGAATGCCATCCAGAGACCCGCTTTTAAAATCCTAACATAGGCTCAACACTTGCTAATAGGTCAGGGGTCCCAGAAGGGATTGTGATTAAAAGAGGAGTCGGCGAAATGTTGGGGGGGGGGGTAATCCAGGGAAGGATGCGACGACCCAGGAGAGACGTCCAAGGAGCAGTCTCAAAATGAAGCAGGTTGAGGATGAAGTAGGGGCTGGGGCTAGGGGCGGAGGTGGTGATGAAGGCGGAGTCTGAAGTCGAAAGAGGGCTCTGGGGTCGGAGGAAGTATAAGATAGGAGAATAAGGATCTTGGAGTCCAAGAAGGGGCCTGAGGTTGGAGGAGTTTGGCATTAGAGACAGCATCTGGGGTCGACGAGAGGTTTGCGGTCAGTGAACTGGACAGCGAACCGAGGAGGGAGCCTGGAGTCTGAGGAGGTTTCTAGCTCAAACTGGAAGGAAGAAGGGGGTTGGTCCCTGGGCTGCGTGAGGTGCCCCGAGCCACTCAGGTCGCGCTTACTGCGTGCTCTTCCCCTCCTGACTCCCCACTGCGCGACCCGGATCGTCCTCCAGGCTCTGCATCCACACCCTCAGCCCGACCTACGCGGCCGGTGCCGGCTGATAACGCTAAGACGGAGGGGGTATGTCAAATCCCGACACCTCCAGGGTCAGGGTTTGAGGCGCCCCCTCCCGGCAGTCCAGGAGCTCAGGCCCCGCCCTCCTCCTCCCCCGCTCCCCCCGCCCAATTTCCACCCCCGCCCGGCCCCCGCCTCAGCACTTCCGGCAGGCGCTGCGCTGCTGGGGGGCGCGGGCGAGGATGGCGGCGGAGAACGAGGCCAGTCAGGAGAGCGCCCTGGGCGCCTACTCGCCGGTGGACTACATGAGCATCACCAGCTTCCCGAGGCTGCCGGAGGATGAGCCGGCGCCCGCGGTCCCTCTGAGGGGCCGCAAGGACGAGGATGCCTTCCTGGGAGACCCGGATACCGGTGAGGCCCGCTGGCCCCATCCCTGCCCCCTGGGACGTCTCTGGTCCTCCTTCATCTGCGCGGAGCATCACCTCCAGCTCCAGCTCCCTAATTCATTCCCTTCCTCCTGGACCTCGCCCTTCTCCTCCCCAGTCTCTGTTAATTTTCTGGCGGGGTTGGGGATGCATCTCTGCCTTGGAGGCTTAGGATGCGACAAGGGAGAAAGATGCCGGGGACTGCAGTAGGAGGGGTTGGGGTTACCCCTTGGGAAGAACCAACTAATAAGGAAGGGATGTTGGAGGGCAGTTCCTAAGGAACAGTTGTGATCACCCAGCAGACGATTTTCTCTAGTCACAGAGAACAGGATAGGATAAATCAAGTCAGAGACTGCAGCAGGATGGATAGAGGCTAGGTCTTGAGAAGAACTTCCCCACAGCC